TGGATGAACGAATTTTGTGGGGACCAGTAGGTGGTGTGGTGGTTGGGGCGCCAACTCCCACAGGCTGACTGGGGTTTGAGTTCCAGATCTGGTGGCTTGGTTTCTCACTTTCCTTTTCTCTCTCTGTCTAGTCAAATTAATTAATTAATTATTTTAAAATGCTATTTATTCATTCATTTATTTTCATTTGACCAGAGAGAGAGAGAGAGAGAAAGTGAGAAAGCAAACCACCAGGTCTGGGACTCGAACCGTGGTCAGCCATGTGAGAGCGGCCAGCACCTTATCCCGAGAGAAGAAGGAATTGCGGTGTGGCTATCCCCCCTCGGGGGGTGATTTCTTGCTTTCTGTCTCTGTTTCTCTCTGTATTTCTGGCAAGTGCACTCGCCCTGTAGCCAAAACCTCTCCCAAAATAAAGAGAAAGTTTTGTTATTTTTTTATTTGGAAATTTAAAAGATTGTCCCCACTCAGGAAATCTAGAATCCAGATGAGTCCCATAAGCCCCCCTTTGTTGTAGACAGCTGCTACTGGGCATCTCCTGTGTTCAGATTTCGCACCTATAAGTACAGTTGGAACATCTTCATGTCCCAAAATGTGACACGTGCAGCTGTGGGGAATTGAGATGACTTTAGATAATGCAAGAGTATTTCTTTTTTGTTTGGCCAGTGGATACTTGTGCTCACCGGAGAGACACGTTGAGAGAGGGAGAGGGAGAAAGCACCCCCAGTGGGCTATGATGGCACTGCAATCCCTTCTCCATTTCTCTGTCCTGGTAGTTTGGGAATAGACACACATGTGCCTGGTGTATGTCTCAAGCCTGTGGGTCCAGGACTCGGAGCACAGGGTCAGTCATGTGGGCTCTGACTACCTTGAGCTCTGGGCCAGCCTAAACAAACATTTTAATGTTAATAATGTTATAATATTATTATTACTATTTTTAAGTTTTTGCGACAGGGTGCATATGCTCACGAAAGAGACAGTTAGAGGGAATGTGAAAAATCATTCCCGGGACCAGCAGTTAGCGTAATGGCTATGTCGCTGGATTCCCATGTAGTCAACCGCAGTTCAAGTCCCGGACCTGGTGGCTTAAATTCACGCGGGGCGCACGTGTGTGCGTACCCAAGATCCCGAGAGGAGAATGGAGGAGAAGGGATTGCGGCGTGGCCATCCCCCCTGTGGGGTGATTTCTTGCTTTTCTGTGTCTCTGTCTCTCTCTGTCTGTCTGATGAGCGCACACGCCCTATAGAAAAAAA